CAGGTTTGCTCACTTACCCGTTTGCCAAATGAAGAGATAATAATGGTGAAAAACAGAGAAAAGATGTTTACTACAGGGCATGGGCATGTCATGGGAAGACAGGACACCACATGGTCAGCTGTCTTTGGGATTCAGAAATAAGCTGTAGTTTTAGATAGATAAAGAACTGGGAGCTGTGGGAGAGAGGTACGCATGCTTATTAAATAGTCATGGTTGATACATGGCTTAGTGCTCATTATTTCCATCCTTGTTTGGGGCAGGTTCTGGAGACGTTGTTATTGCTGTGCTCAGGCTTACATGTTTTCTTCCTTGGTTCAGTGTCCTCCATCCCTTGTAAACATGATGTTGTAAACATCCCTTGTCCTCCATCCTCCATGTAAACATGATGTTGGTTAAGTTCTGTCTTGCCCATATCCCTAGGTGATTGATTGCAGAGTGAGCAGAGAGAAAATGACCTAGAACAAAGATACATTCAAAATGGAGCAGGGATGCCAAGCTTTTTCCTGCTTTCAGTTAGTTTTTGCACCCAAATAAGGAGTCAGTGCTTTTCAGCAAAATCAGTTTAAGTACCTGACAGCTCCAGATGGCTCTTGGTGATTGCTGGTAGCTTGTGTTTGAAAATGTAAGCAATTGACTGCTTTCAGTTGTTATAATGTGTCCAGTGAAAAGAGAGATCAATCCATTTTATGTATTCATATTTTAAACTGGAATATACTTAATTTCCTTAAATGATATTCTGAAAATGTGAGTAAATACCTATAAAATGTTAGAGTAATTATCTATAAACATACTCAGAATAATTTTAACTGCTGTCTAATAGATTGTGTGTCTCATCTTCTATTTTTAGAGTCCCTTAACAGAAACATTTTGGTTGTTACTTGCTTGTTGTGTTTGTTTTGTTTTGCTACTTAATATCTTAAAGTATATTGGTCCAAATATTTGGTTGCCTAGAAAGTGATCTAAAGAAATAGCTATATAGCTGGGCACTGGTGGCTCATCCCTGTAATCCTAGCTACTCAGGAGGCTGAGATCTGAGAATCACAGTTAAAAGCCAGCCTGGCAGGAAAGTTCGTGAGACTTTTATCTGCAGTTAACCACTAGAAAACCAGAAGTGGTGCTGTAACTCAAGTGGTAGAGCATTTGCTTGAGCTGAAGAGTTCAGGGACAACATCCAGGCCCAGAGTTCAAGCCCCACAACCAACAAAAGAAAAGAAATAGTTGTATAAAAGTCTTTGTCATAACTTTTAGAAAATAGTAAATGACTATAACTATACTGTTAGAGGTTCTATTAAGCCAAAAAAAAAGCAACATTGTGACTATCTAATGATATTCCTTCAAGTTACTATATTTCATTTTAGGTTACATTGTATTAAAAATGTATGTAATGGGTTCTAATGTATATAATCTGTACAAAAGGCTCCACTGAATCTGATTTTGTACTTTTATGAACTCTCACAGGGAACTTTCAGTGTTGTTAACAGATGATATTATTCTTTAAGAAAAATCTTCATTGGAAAACTGTTTCTAGCTTGTTTTCTTATTTAAAAAAAAAATCAATAAGAAATGGGGGATTCCCTATACTGCTCAGGTTGGCCTGGAACTCTTAGGCTTATGTAGTTCCTTCCAAATAGCTGAGACTACAGGTGTAGGCCACTATACCTGATTTAAGCCAGAGCTCCACATATATGAGTACAGGGCTCTATCACTGAGCTACATCCTGAACATCAGATATATAGATATATAGATATTTTCTTGGCGGGGGTTGGTCATGGGGCTTGAACTCTGGGCGTCTGCACCGCTCCTCAGCTCTTCAGCTCCAGGCTAGCACTCTACCACTTGAGCCACACAACTACTTCTGGGTTTTCGAGTGGTTTATTGTAGGTAAGAGTCTCACAGCCTTTCCTGTCAAGGCTGGCTTTGAACTGCTATCCTCAGATATCAGCCTCCTGAGTAGCTAGAATTACAGGCATGAGCCACCAATGCCAATTCTTCAGATATATTCTTAATACTAAAATGTTAATGCTGCTGAAACACAAGGAGCTAATCATGTTCATATTTCTTTGCCAACATATCTTATCCTTCCTTATTTGTATCTGTTCAGATCTATACCTACCAGCTGTCAGAATTATAAACTCTGTGATTATACAAAAAAGAATATTTGATATACAGTATTGATGTTTGAACACTATTATCTTTAACAATTGTTCAGTGAAATTTTATGCGGCACATAAAATCATCATGTAGGGAAAAATTGTGGCCTGCCATTTTCATCATTCTTTGGGAGGATAATATCTTGTCCATTGTAAGGTATTTAATAACATATTTAGTCTCTGATTTCTCAGTGTTTTCAGTACAAATCACAGTTGTGAAAATTAAAAATATTTCCAAAATGCTCATTATGAGACAGATATTTATATGATTACCCTTGTTTTAGAACTAATGGTTTAAGTCATAGGAAACATCTATAATTAATTTAGTCCCTGATCTTCTGCACATTTTCTTTCATTGTTCATAACAAAACCTTTTTCACATTATTGTATGTTAACTTTTAGTTGTGTTCTTTTACTCAAACTGGTTTCTTTCCCTTCCTCTGCTCCTCTCTTCTTGTTTTTCTTTCTTCCTTCCCTTTCCTTCCTTTTGCCTTCCTTCCTCTTTTCCTCCTACCTCTTTCCTTTCCTTCCTTTCATAAGTGGAATCAGAATTACTGATATCAGGAAATTAATGTGTGAATAAGGACATTAACTAAACTATAGACCATAAATGAACTTTACCTGTTCAGCCTCTAATATATTTTTTTCTGTTCTAGAGTCCAACCTAAGATACTGTGCCCTATTTTTTTTTTTTTTTTTTGGGTCCGGTTGTGGGGCCTGAACTCTGGGCCTGGGCGCTGTCCCTCAGCTCTTCAGCTCAAGGCTAGCGCTCTACCACTTGAGCCACAGCGCCACTTCCGGCTTTTTTTCCTTTTTGCTTATATGGTGCTGAGGAATCGAACCCAGGGCCTCAGGCTTGCAAGGCAAGCGCTCTACCACTGAGCCACCTTCCCAGCCCCTGTGCCCTATTTTTAATGGTATTTATTTAGTCTTCCTTTTTTGGTTCTCAGGCCTTCCTGTTCTTTATAAGTATCATACTGTTGATGAATACTAGTCATTTACTTTATATGTAGTCTTCCAATTTGTGTGTATCATGGTTCTACTGAAGTTTTGTGTTATTGCAAAGAATACCATAGAGTTGACATCCTCTTCTTGAGATATCAAGATGGCATTCCATTTAATTTTAAATGATGCAGTTTGTACTCTGTAAAGGTACCTTTCTCAATTTGTATTTAATAAGCATTCTGGAGGAGAACTTTAGATTATGTAAATAATCTTGTTTCTACTAAATTTGTCACCTCCTACTTTTGTTATCCCTTTGATAAACAATTGCTTTAAAAAAGCCTTTCTTGGGCTGGGAAGTTCTCTCAGTGGTAGAGTGCTTGCCCCTCATGCATGAGGCCCTGGATTTGATTCCTCAGCACCACATAAGCAGAAAAAAGATGGAAGTGGCACTGTGGCTCAAGTGGTAGAGCGCTAGCCTTGATCTGAAGAGCTGAGGGACAGTGCCCAGGCCCATAGTTCAGCCCCCATGACCAACAACAACAACAAAAAAGCCTGTTCTTAGACTGTGGTAAGCCAATCATTGTTTATGGATTATTCACCCTTACAAATCAGCCTTAACTTCAGGTAAATGCCTGTCTTCAGCCTTTTACCAGAGAATAGTAGTAAACAAAATGTGAAAGCAGTATTTGACTTTAAGATTTCCTTCAGTGTAGGGTAGCAAGAGTTAGAGTGGATTGTTAAATTATTTCCTTTCCTCCCTTCCTCCTCCCCTTTCCTTCTTTTCTTTTACTTCTCTTCCCTTCTCTTCCTTTGTGTCCTCTTTCCTCCCCTCCCTTTTCCTCCCTTCCCCTCTCCTCTCCTTTCTATTTGGACAGAGTCACTCTACATTATTACCAAGGCTGGCCTCTAACTCATGAGCTTTCCACTTCAGCCTGCCAGGTATCAAGGATTATAGGTGTGTGCTACTTACTGCACTTGGCTCATGAAATTTTCTTGATTGTTTATGATACTATATGGTGGAAGGTAGGGGTGGCATGGTCTGAGGCTGACCCTGGACAAAAAAAGCAGGACCCTATCTAAAAATAATCAAAGAAAAAAGCTCACATTGTAGAGCTACTGACCTAGCAAGTATAAGGTTCTTAAGTTCAAGTATCAGTGCCATAAAATATAGTTATAATAAACATCATCATCATCATTATCCTTTGGTAATTTAAAGAGGATGAGGTATTTTATTAAGAGTGCAAACATATTAATTTGCCTAAGTTTATGGCATTATACATTTATGTAAAATTAGTGTATTCAAACTACTTAAATTTTTGAATGTAAAAAACTCTTAAAAGTATCTAGAATACTTAAACTTAAATCAAACTCAGTGTAAGAGAACATGCCCATAGTCCCACTTGTGGGACTGAGAGGGGAAGATCTCACAAATTTGAGTCAGCATGGGTGAGGCTATTTTCAAAAATAAAATCATTTTCTGTTATTCTGAAAGAATACCTAAGATTGGACGAGTAAGAAAATGTTTATTTAGCTCAAATTTTAGATAAGAAGAGCTGACCACTTTTGGTGGCTTCTCTTTATCTACTTTCTCTTTTCTGAAGAGCTAATTCTTTTCCAAAGATGTGAGAACTCACTCACTCCTGCTCAGTCCCCCAAGAAAGGCTTCACAGTCCCACTTAAGGACCTATTACAGAATTAAGCCTCAACATGACCTTCGGTAGGAACATTACCATTTTCAAGACATAGATGTATTTTTTTGTCCATATGTTATTTTTCTAAAAAATGTATATCTCTGATATTTATATGTCTATATACACACATCTGTATTTAAAGCAAGACATCTAAATATGTCTAATTCTTTTGAATAATTGTTTCATTCCGAATATTGCCATTTTTCCCTTTCAGATATGGAGTCTGGAGAACGGTTGCCATCCTCAACAGCCTCCTCTACTACACCAACTTCCTCTTCCACCCCTTCTGTGGCTTCGGCAATTTCTAAGGGTGGCCTTTCCACTGGAGCTGCTTCGCTTAGCCCTACAATCAACCCATGTGGTGAGTTCTACTTATTAACTCATTTTCAGTCATTTTCATTTATAGTGTTAAGCTTGTAATAAAATATTCTGTGGCTTCCATTGGTCCCTGGAAAAGTTACTATGTTGGCTGGCACCAATGGCTTATGCCTGTAATCATAGCAATGCCATAGGCTGAGATCTGAGCATTGTGGTTCAAAGCCAACCCAGGCAGGAAATATCTCCAATTAACTACCAAAAAGTGAGAAGTAAAGCTGTGGCTCAAGTGATAGAGCACTAGCTTTGAGCATAAAAGCTCAGAGATAGCACCCGGGCTTTGAGTTCAAGCCCCAGGACTGGTGCATGCATACACACATGTGCACACGTGTATACACACACACGCACACACGCACACACACACATAATTTTAAAAAATCATTGTGTTAAATGTCTGGACTTTATTTTATTTTATTTTACTCTGAGGTAATACCATTATTCTGCACTTTCTGTGATTATTTGAAATTCTGTCTGGGAGTTTCCTTTAACTTGTTTTACCACTTAGTTAACCAATTAGTAAGTGTACAATCTTTTTAAATCACAGGCAGTGAGAGGATAGAGAAATATTCCTCAATGGTAAGATTAGAAATCAGTTCTATTAATCCTTTGCCCCAAACTGGCTTCCAGTATTTGAAATGGCCTTCACATATTCCACTCCTCCAGTTTGTTCACAAATATATAGACAGATTATTATTATTATTATTTTGGTGGTACTCGAGTTTGAAACTTAAGCCTTACATTTCCTTGACTTGCTTCTTGGCTGGCATTCTACCATTCTGCCACACTTCCTGTCCAGCATTTTGCTGATTAATTGAAAATAGAGTTTCACAGACTTTTCTACCTGGGTTGGCTTTGAACCTTGGTTCTCTAAGTCTCAGCTTCCTGAGTTTGAGCCACTAGTGCCTGGCCAAAAAAAAAAAAATTAAATTTGATTAACTCATTTGTTTAATGTAGGAAACATGTTATTCTTCAATCTCTTTTTATCATAGGGATATTTCATATTTATAAACAGAACAAAATTATAAAATTTATTTTTTGTACTTAAATTTATATTTTTTGCATGAACGAAGTGAATAAGTGAGGAATGTTTGCTTACAAAATACTCCAGCATATTGTGAAATATACATTATTTAGTTATTCATGTTTTTCTAATTAGTACAATAGCATGAAGGGTGTTATTTTGCATTATATTATCATAGGACAACTTCTAAAATATTCTTAGTGATTACAAAATTATCTATCTATTTATCTATCTTTATGATAGAATCAGGGGAGGAGAACTGGGGTTTGAACTTAGGGCCTCATTGTTGTTAGGCAAATGCTCTATGGTTAAGCCATACAGGTGGCCCTTTTTGGCACTGGCTATTTTTGAGATGAGGTCTTGATCTCATATATACTTATACTAAGCTTCACCCTATTTTAAGCTTCTTGTTTTTGCTAGCATGACAGGATATGCACCATGCCTAGATTTCTCCATTGAGATAGAGCTCTCTGCCCAGGTTGGCCTGAACCACAATTCTCTTGATTTCAGTCTTCCATGAAACTAGGATGACAGGCAGATAACACTGTACACAGCTATGAGTTGAAAAGGGATCTCATGAACTTTTCTGCCCTGATTGGCCTTGAAATGAGATCTTCCCATTCTCAGCCACTCAAGAGCTAAGATTACAGACTTGAGCCTTCAGTGCCTGGTTACATTATACATTTTTTAATGACCCTTCTTTTCCTGTATCCTGTTAGACTCTTTATTAAGTAATCAACAAATTTGTCTATATTCTTCTTATGCATAACATGATGGCTGGATTCTAAAATTTCAATACCTTGTGCTAAAAAATGGTGATGTGAGGACTGAAGATCTGGCTCAGGTGGTAGAACACTTGCTTGGCAAAGATAATGCCTGAGTTCAAGCCTCAATACCACTAGTACTAAGGAGAGGGGAGGACAATGATGCTGTGCTTGGTTATTTTAGGTTACTTCGGTTAAGAGATTGAGCACCTTTGTCCTTCTATTCATTACTACCTCTTCTTTTTTTTCTCCATGTTAAGTCCACATTTTATTCGTTCTTTACATTGATTACATGCTATTTCACAGTGAGAATTTCCTTTCCTTTATCTTTTACTGCCTCTTTACTGCCTCTTCGATTCAGTGGATTCTTTTATTCTACAGACTTTACATTTGTTTCTGAATTAGTCTTTAACGTATATAGTATTGCACAAGAACTGTCTATTGCTTTAATGTTAAAGGGCTCAGTAGTATCCTTGAGTTCAGCTCTTGAGGTTTTTGTAAACTTTTTTTGTTCAATTGCTATTCTGAATTAATGACACTGGAGTTACCCAGTGTCAATGCTGATTATGTGTATGGACTGTTCTTTGTTAATGGTGATATGGAGGGAGTTGCAGAGGAGTGGGGTGTGGTGGATTGCTGAGCAACATCAGATGTCTCCTTAATCTAGAAAAAGAGCCTTTTTCAATTATTTTAGAAGAGTGCAGAAGTTTTATAATGAGATAGTTTCATTGATGAAAGTGTAGCTTCTTTTTGTTTATTTAGAAATACATTGCTTATTTTTTCATTAGGTTTTAACAGTCTACATCCGTAGCTCATTTCTTTTTTTTTTTTTTTTTTAACTTTCTAGGTAAAATGATTGTTTCCTTTTACAGTGTTATACTTCATGTTAACACCTATCAGACTGGGCATCTAGATCAGTGGTAGAGTACATAAGTAGATCAATAAATAACCACACCTTATGTTCCTTCTATCAAACAGGCCACTTAGGAGAAAGCTCAGTCTGTTGTTTTCCTGTCTTATTTAATTCACCATTATTTAATTCACTATTTTTGGCCCAGATATTTTCTGATAAACTCTCACTGATACCATCTAAGGATAGATTTATTTTCTCTACTAATTAAAGAATTGAAAGGCAGGAAAATGTTTAAAGCAAACAGCACAAATTTATTTGGGAAGGAAAGAAAATAAGGGGTGGTGAGTGGCCTTCAAGATGGGAGTCCAGGACTGGGAAGGTGGCTCAGTGGTAGAGCGCTTGCCTTGCGTGCATGAGGCCCTGGGTTCATTTCTCAGCACCACATAAGCAGAAAAATCCCAAAGTGGCACTGTGGCTCAAGTGGTGGAGTGCTAGCCTTGAGCTGAAGAGCTGAGGGACAGCACCCTGGCCCAGAGTTCAGGCCCCACAACTGACCAAAAAGAAAAAAAAGAAAAAAAATGAGAGTCCACAATCCCTTTGTTTGGACAAACCAGATATATGTCATAACCTCTATCTCCTCCTAAGTGGCATATTCTTTTATTTAATTGGTCCAGTGATGACTGTGGCCACCTGAGGTCTCATGATTGGTTCCCTCCGCTTCTGGGAACGTATTCTTTTAGTTAGGTCCTCACCACCATACATGCATTCATGTAGCTCATAAGGGTGGAAAGGGTCCCTCCACAAGCAGAGGAGAGGCAGGCCATGTGTTCAGCAGCTCAGGTAGAGCACGTGCACCCAGGGCCCTGAGACTTGAGTGACAGAATGTCACAAGAAGGGCAGAACATCCCCTCTTGTTCCCAGTTGTTCAGGCATTAGTCCCAGCAGCTTGTTCTGTCCTTTTACCTAGCCCAGGCAGCTGGCTCTCATGAACTAAATAATTAAATAAAATAATAAAATCTCCATAGGTAAATCCTTTTATTGTAAAACAAGTTGATCTCTCATTTTTACATATGTAAAGAAGAAAACAAAATTTTTACTGTTAAAATGCCGAAACTTCAACAGTTCTTTCATGAGTTCTTTGAGGTCATTCTGTTGTTTTAAATATTTTATTTTAGAGAAACACTTATTTCTTTCGTCTTCATAATAATGTCTATATAAATTCTTCTGAGCTATAGAGTAATTTGAACTTTATTTTCAAACTTTGAATGTTCAGCTGTGTTTCGTTGGATCAGAGATTTTGCACTTATAGGATAGCAAGCCGAACATGTCGACATCAGTTCCCTATGTCTACATCCCATGTGGGCATTGTGGGTCCTCCAATGTGGTGGATGTGTGTGTGTAGCTAAGGAACACTGTGCTCAAGGAAACTACCTTGTTGTAAATGAAAGCGAGCCCACTCTTTGTGAGGGGGAATCTGTAACCTCATCCTTCAATTGTATATCATTCCAAGTATAATTCTGAAAAATAACCTAGGTAAGAAAGGATCAGAGCCTTGAAGTTTTGGAATACTCAGCAGTAATATACAAGGACACTTGAAGTCCCTTGGAAGATTGCCTCTTGCAACACAGCTTGTATTAGCTTGTATTAGCTTACATTAACAAAAGCCCCAACAAACAAAAAACCCAAATACCTCAGTAAAGACCAATTTACAAGTCATGTGCTATTGGTCTTATTAGAATTTTTTTTTCCTTTTTTTTGCGGGTTGTGGGGCCTGAACTCTGGGCCTGGGCGCTGTCCCTCAAGGCTAGCGCTCTACCACTTGAGACAGAGGGCCACTTCCAGCTTTTTCTGCTTATATGATGCTGAGGAATTGAACCCAGGGCCTCATGCATGCAAGGCAAGCACCCTATCGCTGAGCCACCTTCCCAGCCCCAGAATAATTTTTCTTTAAGAAATTATTGTATATATGTTTTTCTAATTTGGGGAGGGGAAGGGAAATAACAAAATGCTTAAATAAGGATATAGGTTGGCCCATTGTAACACATTGTACAAGAGATACAGAATAAGATGTACAAGACACTATGTTGAAAATGAACTTTATAACTTGTGGGGGGCGAGGTAGCAGGAGGAGTTGGGGAGATAGGGAGGGAGGGGACTGTAGGGGAAAAACAAAGGAGGAGGTAACAATGCTGGACAGGAAATGCACTCATTTCCTTACTCATGTAACTGTAACCCCTCTGTACACTATTTTTACAATAAAAAAATTATTTACTCTGATAGCTCATACCTAAAATCCTAGCTATTCAGGAGGTTGAGATCTGAGGATCCCGGTTCAAAGCCAACCCAGG